TCTTCTTTCGGCTGCTCCTCCTTCATCTTCTTTCGGCTGCTCCTCCTTCTCTTCTTCTTTCGGCTGCTCCTCCTTCTTCTTCTTTCGGCTGCTCCTCCTCCTTCTTCTTTCGGCTGCTCCTTCTTCAGGGGTCACCACAGCGGACTGTCTCGCACGAAGACTTGCTGATTGTTTTTATTCTGGATCTCCTTCCTGATGCAACCACAGACCACGAGCTACCACCGCCTCTGAGTGGAGCAGGGATCTGCATGTAGGGTGCCGGGGGAGCAGATGGTGGGGGTTAAGGGCCTTGCTCAAGGGCCCAGGTGGGACAAATGAGGGTGGAGGCAGGTGTGGGTGTTTCCCATCCAGATTTTTATGTTGGTCGGTCCAGGGGGTCAAAATGGCGACAGGCTTGTCTTCTTTAATCTGCACCACCAGTCCCCGGCTAATCGACTGCCCTAAAAATCATCTTGGCCGTAGAAACCTCCTATCTGTTGACCACTGCCTAAAATACCTCCAGCTGATGCAGGCCATGTTGTTGCTTCTCTTATACCTGAGAGTTGGTGTCATTATTTAACAGAAAAGGTGCAGCTTGTCCTAATCTAACCCTCCACTGAAACCAGTGACTCAGAGACTTCCTTTGCTCATCACCAGGGTGAGCTGTGGCGACACTTAAACCCTCCCAGTTGAAACAGGCGGCTGAGCTCCTCTCACACAATGGTTCACCTGAGCTCTCCAGTATGTGACCCTGATGGATGGATGGGGGGGTTGTATAGCATGAGACACGGAGATGGAGCCTCTTCATTCATCCACCGCTGTCACTGAGCTGTAAAGAGCTTTGTGAATGGAGGTGGTCTTGGGTTACAGTTGTGGAGGGGGGAGCAGGGGGACAGTGTTGGTAGCCTGCAGGAGAATAACACAGCCTGCACAGATCACCTCCTAATTCAGGATTTTATTTTCTTCACAGCAAATCAACTGCTGCACTTAGAAAAATCAATGCTACATTCACGTCTTTTTTCATTAATTTGAGAAACTGTCGACTCTTCGGAGATTTTCACTCGTTCTTTTCTGTTTCTCCACAGATCGTAGTCAGATTGGATGCAGAGAGCTGAGGTCCACGAAGTACATCTCTGACGGCCACTGCACCAGCATCAACCCCATCAAGGAGCTGGTGTGCGCAGGCGAGTGTCTCCCAGCCCAGATGCTTGAAAACTGGATCGGCGGGGCTCACGGCAGAAAGTTCTGGGCTCGCAGGAGCAGTAACCACGACTGGAGGTGTGTGAATGATAAAACACGCACCCAGCGCATCCAGCTGCAGTGCCAGGACGGCAGCACAAGAACGTACAAAATCACAGTGGTCACTTCTTGCAAGTGCAAGAGGTACTCGAGGCAGCACAACGAATCGGGCAACAAGTTCGAGGATCCTGCTGCGTTGTCGCCACAGCTCCTGCACAAACACAAACCCAAGAACAAGAGGAGGCTGGGAAAGAAGCGCGCACGTGAAAACTGGCACGAGACCGAACCCTAAGAGCTGGAAGAATCCACATCGACTATGGGATGTTTGAGTCTGTGACATCTGGTGTTCCAGCTGTGGATTAATACCGTCTGAGAGGAGAAGCTGCCTCCACAGGAAGAGACTGCAGAGACCAAGGACATTTATTAAATGTGAACAGAAGTGGGTTGTACAGTCTGAGGTGCTCCTGGTTCCTCACACCACTTCCATATCCATTTAGCATGCTGATGAACTGCAGCCCAAGACAACAAAACTAGTAAAAAAAATTAAATGAAATGGAGATATTAAAAATTTTGTGTAAATATTTGTACAAATATTGATTTCTTACTGTTTTTTTAAAGTACAATCATGTGTATAAGATTTTACAATGTAAAAAATATTATGTATTATGTAATATATTTTTATAATCATATTTGATAAATTCTGCTTAAGTATTTTCAGCATTTGGTTGAAATTTAATTATTCAATAATGTATTAAACCTTTTTTTTTTTAAATAAATGAAACTTTTCCTCATCTGCCTTTTCTAGTCATTAATGATGGTTCACTGTTGCAGGAATAGTCTTCAGACAGTTCCTGCAGATTACAAGTCTGCTGTACTGTACTTAAATATAAAAATAAAATAAAAATTACATAAAAATCACACATTTTGAATTGCTCTAATGATACTTACCATAAAAAAATAAACATTATATTTATTAATTCATTTAACCCTTTATTTCTACAGGCTTGAGCCCCGAGGACTCATTTACAACAGAACATATAAAGTACAGACAACAAGAGCAGTAAACAATGACAACAATAAACTGCAGTAAAAATGCAGATAAATAAGAGTAGTGCGTAAAACAATAAATCTGGGTGCTGTAGAACAGGGTGAAACTAAAAACAAGAACATATCTGGATGTAGGAAATATATCATACTTACATAAAGTTCTAATATTTTTTTGAGCATCCAAACAGGCAACAAAACACGTGCAACTTCCTTATCAGGACAAATAATAGTCAAATAAAAAGTGTTTTTAAGATCACCAGTTATGTTATTTGCTGTTCTTATTTATGAACTCTGAATCAAATTTAATTAACTAATATTAAATGCTTTAGTTCCATATTTTATAGTTATGCAGCGCTGTTAAGTTTGCTCTTTCTAAAGCAGTTAACTTAAGAAAGTGATTTTTCATGTTCCACGTGATTTTCTTGGTCTTCAGGGTCAAGTCCAGACTTTTATTTTGAAAGTGCTGAGCGGAAGTACAACGTTAGCTCTTTGCTAGCTTCATCATGGCGGTGTTTTCCTTCTCCGTCCCCCGCGCTGCACGCGCTCATCCCGCCCACGGAAGCAGCATGGACAGTTTGTGGACACATTTCTGTTGAGACTCCTCCGTCCATGACCTGATGGACGTCAGTCCCGCCTCAGTCCAGAGCGGGGACAGAGGCCCGGGCAGGCCCTCTCATCCCGGGACTTTCTTACCCGGAGAGTCCGGGAACAGCGACGACCTTAGCGCGGGATGCGTCGTGGACTTTCCGGTGTCGGTGATCCTTCCCGCCGGCGGCACCGGAGAACGAACCGGACTGCAAACCCCTAAACAGTTCTGTTCGTTTCAGGGTAGACCGCTCATAAGTTACACGGTCCAGGCTTTTGAGAGGTAGGAATAAATAAAGTCACACAAACACATAAATAACGTTTAAACGAGTGGCGGCATAAAAACAAGCGATAAACTCCAGTCGCCAGAGCCGTACATAAGAAGTTAAGGGCCCTGGTGCAAAAGGCTAGATGGGCCCCCCTGAATCTGAACATTTTGTCGGTCACCCACCAAACAGTTCTGATAATGTTCATTTAAAAAGAAAACATACTAAATTTATTTAGTTATCGCCATAAGTTTTTCCCAACACCATGTGAGGAGTTTTAGGAGTTCGCCAGATAGGAAATAAACAATTGTACTGTTGTTTTAAAACAGTCCTATTTCAACTAAAACCATTTTATGTGGAGTGGGGGTGCACTTTTTGTTTTGGTGGTGGGGGAAACGGGCACATATTTCTTGGTGATTCTTGATTCTGGGCACAGACTGCTGATTTGTAGACGTATGATTATTTTTTTTAATTTTTGTGAATTGCCAAAATAGTTGTAAATGTGGGCTTTGAAAAAACTGTTTATTGTATGTATGCCCTAAAAGTATAGTTTAAATATTCACATGGCTGTCACACGGTCTGGCTGTTCAGAACAGACTTTCTGATGATATGTGCGTGTTTATGTGAATAAAAAACACTTTCTTTGTGCTCAGAACTGCCAAAATGATCATACATCATATAGAGTATATGGTCTTTTTAAAGCGGTATGATATGCCCTAAAACTTTAGTATAAATACAATAACTCTCATCCATCTGCCAACACTGTTCCTTATTCAGCAAACTTGGCTGTACCTGTGTTTCACGGTTTTATTCATGCCGCTAACCAGACTTACTTTTTATCTTTGAAGATTATTGATGCCATTGAAATACAAAAACTATTTGCAAGAGAAAAAATAATTTTATATGAATATTCTGCTGAAAATAAAATAACAATATAGTTTTTAAATATGTTAATATTTCTGTTTTCTGATGTAGATGTAAATTAAAGTTTTAGATCGGGGTAATTCAACTCAATTGCTCAGGGGGCCACAGTTACTGAAAGTCAAGAGCTCGGGGGCCGGACGTCCATCAGTTCTTTTCTAAGTAAGTTTGTTTTATGGTTTAAATCTAGTTTTATTAAAATATGAAGCCATGGTGGACTGCACTGAGCTCACCCATGGGCCTGATTTGGCCCCCGGGCCACCAGTTGAATAGCCTTGTTTTAGTCTAAAACCCTAAAATGTCCATTAGGAAACGTCACAGTCTGTGTTTGGAACTTCCTCCACATTATTACAAATTAAACGAACGGTTTGTTTCCAGTTCTAGTTGTTTTGAAGAAGAAACGGGCGTTTCTGAGTGGTTGGTGTGTTCTTGCAGAGTGCCATGGGTCCAAGTCATCGTTGTGGTCGTTGCCAAAGAAAACCTGGACCTGATGATGGACATCGTCCAGCGGTTCCGGCACGGGAAGGTTCGGGTCGTGCCAGGCGGCTCAACTCGCCACCGGTCAATATGTAACGGAGTCATGGCTCTGAGCGAGGAGGAGAGGCCAGCAGCTGACCGACCCAAGGTGGTCATCATACACGACGCCGTACGGCCTTTTGTGGAGGAGGACTTTCTGCAGGAGATCGCAGTGGCAGCCAAGGAACAAGGGGTCAGTACGAGCTAAACTGTTCATCCGACGATGGAGTGGACTTTTGTTTTGTACGTTTTAAACTTCCATTCCTCTGTGCTAAAGTCAAGTCTGTTGTTTGTGAACCAGGTAATGAGCAACGGATGGAATTATTCTTATTTTTAAACTATGTTTTACTCCATTAATGTACAAGATACACTTTGTGTGAACCCTTTAGTGATTTGTGCACAAGAAAAATGAGCCAAGATCAAAACGTAGCCAGCCAAGTGCTTCAAAATAAACTGCTGATGTTCTGGCTCGTCTGAAATCTGCACAAGTTTTCTTTTGTTTCATTGCCGACAGCAAAAAGTTGGTACCAGGGCAATCTTGTAGTTATGTAAAAATTACAATAATAATAATTATTATATCTATCTGACAGGAGGTTATGGTCATAGTTCGGTACAGAAGCAGCATCCACAAGACTCTGAGACTGAATGATGAGCAGAAGAGCTCCAGTTTGTCAGGACTGTGTGGAAAAATGACTGAACTGTCAAAACGGGATCAAAAAAGATTTCAAATGACACTTCATCACCATTTCAGCAACAACTCCAGCCGACCTCTGTGCCGGCATGAGATGGTAGAATTATTGTAGAAAAATCCAGCAGAGACTTTAGAGAAACACATGCTGCTTCCAGAAAACATCAGACAACAACCATGGATTTATTCAAGAAGACGATGCCAAACCACATTCTTTTGTGTTAGGAGTTGCGTAACTCGGAGCCAAACGTAGACAAAAAGTCAATTAGTCACAGTTTCCAGACATTTGAGAAAAGTGATAAACAAGTATCGTTTGAAAAGTCATTACGCTCCGCCTGCAGGTTGTAAAGTTGATGTTTAGACTTGTTCAAACTAAAAGGATCTGACCACAACAAATCACATTTGGACCACTATTCTTTGCAAGCTTTCCCTTATTGGTCTCCGATCCTTTTATGTCCACAGCTCAGTAAATGTCACATTAGAGAAAATGTACTTGTGAAGGCAGGAGATGTCAAGATCCAGGGGACAAGCTGCACGGAGAACGTTCAGAGCTCTCACAAGTAAAAGCAGTCCTCTCGTCATGCACGGAACGAGCAGCCTCGCTACATGAAATGTGGACTGGAGCTCGTACTTCATCTTCTCTTGAGTAGAACACGAGGAAAGGCCCATTACAGAACAAACTGTGAACGAAGCTGAACCGTGATGGAGTCACCTGGTTAGAAAGACAAAGTAGCACGTGTCCCCGTGGTTAATCTTTCACCTGGAGGTGTAAACACAAACGGTCGTCGTTAAAACACAGTGAAGGTTTTCAGGCGGGTTCAGACCCAACAAAACGAACAGATTCAATGATTGCACCCTGACGGAGGTTTTTGATCGTAACAAGATTCATCCATCTTTTCACAGTTTATGGAACTGACAGCTTCAAGTTTACACACTCGGTGCTACACAAAAAGCAACAACGGCCACTCGCATGATTCATGGTCGGGGCTCACAAGCCTAGAAAGATCCTGTGTGTGAAAAGCTGGAGCTCAGCGTTTCTGGTGTTTGCACTTTATGAAGAACGTTCCACCTGTCTGCTCTGCATCACCTTCCAGAGCCTCCTCATGTAAAGCCTGGCTCCGGTGAGAAAGGACGTTTATGTGACGCACAACAGTCGTTTCATTCTCCACCGCCACGTGCGTTCACGCTCCACCGCCACGTGCGCTCACGCTCTGAGCTGAAAACAGTCTGTACAGATGTGATGTTGAACAACCAGATGTTTTTTAAGGCCGACTTCAACACGATAAAAGTGGAGTCGACTCGTCCAGGTGACGTCATAGGAACTCAAGACGCTGTTCACAAAATAACGTTGTTTATTATTTACAAAACAAAGAAGAAGAAAACACGGGGAGCGTACGTTTTTATCATTTATCATAAGTCACAGGAAAAACAAAACTATTATTAAGCTGCAAAGGTTACTTTTATTTTATTTAATCCACTAAATAAAATAAACCACTGCGGTGGTGGTGGGTTCTCCACCGGCGGTGCACCCCTCTTTTTATTTTTAGTTTATTTAGTGGATTAAATAAAATAAAAGTAAAAGACAGCAGGGTGGGTGGTGGTGAGATCCCACCGTGGATTAAATGAATAAAACTAAAAACATCATCTTTAGTGAAATACTTCCACACTGTTGATGGATTTCTACCCGTCTGTGAAGACGTGACCTGCTCCTCGTCCTCCATCAGCTGTTTTGTAGCCAGCGGCCCGGCGCCGATCATGTGACCCGCGACACCGCCACCGACTCGACTCGTCGACGTGAAATTAAAAACTCGCGACGTGTCCAACTAGTCGACTCGTCTATTCAACCCCTAGATGGTGATGCCCAGCTAACTGTAAATAGTTTCTGTTACTACAAGTCTGACATTGAAAAGGAATTTAATTGAAAACAATCACTTTGTCTTCTTTTGTCAAGTTCTTTTTTTTCACTTCAGCCATTTTTACTTTATGTTACAGTTTTTGACATTTTTCTGATTTTCATCACTTTTTTAAATTTTAATAAAAACTAAACAAAAAGAAAAATGGGGGTTCATGTTTTCTTTTTTTTTTAAAAGCCTCTTCTGATGTCAGAACTTTTTAAAGTTCGTCCGTCCGCGTTGTCAGCGTGATAACTTGGAAAATAACTTGACTTCCACTTAAGGACCTTTCAACATTTGGGTTGCCACATCAAAATCCAAGATGGTTGTTGCCATATATGTATGTAAACCAGACACCCCGACCATTTCTGGAAACTATGCTTTAGTTTTCATTTTATTTTGCTTAAAAGTATAATTTCCTCAAATGATTTGGGGTGGCTGAAGATTAATCTATGGTGTCCAAGGCCACCACTGGCCACCCCCTGGCTCCTCCACTGCACCTGGTGGTGCATTAATTTGCTCCTCCACGCTGCAGGATCTACCTCCTCCGTGTTTATACTCAGTGTGTCTCCTACACACTTAAATACCTTGCATCAAAAACTTTAAGGTTTACTGACATTTCTAGTTTAAATCAGAAAAACACAACTAGAAAACTTTTAAATCAAATCTCTCAGCGATGAGGGATTTCGGTGTAAGGCTTGTTTTGCTCAGTTTTACAGCTTGATGTCTTCTTAGCATTAATTTAGTAAGTAATTTACACTAAACTGCATTAATATTTATTAAATGTTTTACACAGGCAGCTGGAGCCATTCGTCCCCTTGTTTCCACCGTGATAGCCACAACATCGGAGGGTTACCTGGATCATTCTTTGGAGCGAGCCAAGTACAGAGCCAGTGAGATGCCTCAGGGCTTTACATACGACGTCATCTATCAGGCGTACCACAGGGTAGGGGCTGAAATGCACTTTACTACACTGGATGTGCTGTGGGTGGATGTTGGTGTGTGGCTAACAACAACCTGCAACCAAAACTAGGTGCAGCAGCGTTGGACAAAACACTTCAGCCGACGTCGTCTTACTCTTGGTGTCGTACCATCAATATAAAGTTATATTTAATCTTTGGAAATGTTGACGTTGATCCACTAAACATTGGTGTTTTTTGTACATTGAAAGAGTTTAAAACCATTTTTGCTGAGCAGTTTATGGATCAGAGTTTCAGTGGAGAGCTCGTGGTGTGACTCCCATCATTTTGTTCTTCACTCAACCTTTATTAGTTCAGGTTGGTCTCATTGAGCCTCCAGGACTCGCGTACAAGAGAGACCTGGTTTTAACAAGAGTGATGACAATCATAAAATAAAGCATATACGTTGAAACAAAATAATGTAATAAAATGATGTTAAAAAAGAAACAAAAGCAGCTGCATTTTAAAGAGACGTAAACTAGTAAGAACCTTTTTCTGTGCTCTTTGCTGCTTCTGGGAAAGGACTGATCTATTCTGGCTCCCTGACAAGGATTAGTTTGTGGAACGAGACTCAACAAAAGCTCATCTGGAAAAATAATAAACTCTGAAATTAGTTTTTATTCTGAGCCCGGCTCAGATTAACTGTGCCTCCGTTTGTGAGCGTGGTTTCATATTTGTACCTGCGAAATGGAAAGAATTTCTGAGCCGGTCCGAGACGTAAAAGTGGAGATTTTTCTCTGAAAGCAAAATCTTTTTTTAAACGCGGCAGACGAGCTGAACGTATGCGTCCACTTTATGTTTTTAGCTTTGATTGATTTAAGTGTGTTTTCAAAAGTATTTTGAATAAAGCAACAAACTGTTAACTAACAGCTGAAGTTTTCTTTTAACGTTAGTGCTTAGCGTCTGAAGTTACATTTTATTTCTTCAGATTGTCGTTAGAGTCCTGTCGGACCGAGCCTTGTCAGAAAATGAGCTCATTTTTGAGCGTCTGTGTCGACGTTGAGTCGCAACGTCCCGCTGAGCCAGACGTGGAGATTGTGTAGCCCTCTCCTTCTCGAGCTTTCAAGAGGTGTAAGGTACAGGAAAGACTGAACGATGTAGTCTTGAAAAATCTCTGAGCCTAACATCTTCTGAGAGAAGAACATCTGGAGGAGAGTCAGTAATCCAGACTGCGGAGAGGTCTTTGTGTTGAGACGATCCTTCAGGTCACGTCCTCTCAGGACCAAGAGCATCTTCTGCTGCAACATCTCTTCAGTTTTACAACAAACCGCTGTCTTCATTTAGCTGAACAGTTTTAAAAGAGAAAAGTGCTTCCAACCAGTAAATAATTCCCCTGAGGATGAAGTTTAAACTGAAATTTAAGGATGATGTGGATTTTGCTGTTTATTCCGTAGATATTAGGTCTTTCCCTTTTGTAGACATTTGTCAGAAACGTTTTCAGAGTGAACCTGATGGATTCTGTCCTTTTCTGACCTGCACAGATGTGCAATAACCATGTGCAGATGTGCAATAACCTGTGCAATAATTCCTTAATGAGCAATAGTGTGCCGTGCCGTATGACTGTTCATCTTGTAAATAGTTGTTTTTATTCTTACCTTTTATCTTATGTATGTCTTCTGACACCATAAGGACGACACATCTTTGTTGTACATGTTAAAACGACAATAAAGATGTTCTGACTCATGTTTTAATTATTACTCCCACAACAGTGTCCATCTTTTATTCACACTAGACATCAAGGATGTACTTCATGAGAAGGATCTCCACCTGGTTGTCAGTTTCCCTGAGGTCTGTTGTTTCAAAAGGAGGAGCATGTAGAGCAGTTTAAAGCAGGGTCTGAAATGTTGGGCTTTATTTGGGTGGTGCTTTTGCAGTTGGGATGCTTCAACACACCTTCAGTCCACCACCCTTTCGTTAAACAATAAAGTGTCTCTGCATTTGTTTATATGAGATTATTCTAGAAGAATGTCTGACAGCACCTTCGCTTTAAAGACCCATCCATGTTTAATTTCTCACAGCTGCTTTACTCGTCTGTGTCCCCTGTGCAGTGCACGGAGTCGGACCTTGAGTTTGGTACCGAGTGTCTCCATCTGGCTTTGCAGTACTGTGGCATCAACGCAAAGCTTATTGAGGGCCCGCCAACGCTGTGGAAGGTAAGGTTGCCAGGTGCCTGCTTTGGCTTGGAAGGAGTGCGTTCACTGATGTTTTGGCATCTGCAACTGGACAAAAGGAACGTTTCTAAATTAAAGGTGATGGTTCTGGCAAAAATGACTGCAAGCAAGATCAAAACAGAAAAGGCTGAAGTCACTGCAGAGACTGGATCACAAGGCAAAGTGTTATTTCAGATGATATTTTGACATCATATATGAATAAAGTATTTTGGTGCTATTGGAGCACTGCAGCATTTCTTCTGGTGTGGGAACGTCTTTGCACCAGAACATACTTGAGTCAAACTGAGGCCGAGAGTTCAAATGATTTCAGGCTTTCAGTTTGTTTTTGAAGGGCGGCGCAGTTGGTAGAGCTGTTGCCTCACAGTGAGAAGGTTGCTGGTTCAAATCCCAGCTGGGGATCTTTCTGGGTGGAGTTAACATGTTCTGTCCGTGCTGCGTGGGTTTTCTCCAGTTTCCTCCCACAGACCAAAAACATGCATGTTGGACTGATGGTAACTCTGAATTGTCCCTAGGTGAGAGAGAGAGAATGGTTGTTTGTCTCTATGTGTCCCTGTGATGGACTGGAGACATGTCCAGGTGTCCCTGTGATAGACTGAAGACATGTCCAGGGTGTCCCTGTGATGGACTGAAGACATCTCCAAGGTGTCCCTGTGATGGACTGAAGACATGTCCAGGTGTCCCTGTGATAGACTGAAGACATGTCCAGGGTGTCCCTGTGATGGACTGAAGACATGTCCAGGGTGTCCCTGTGATGGACTGAAGACCTGTCCAGGTGTCCCTGTGATAGACTGAAGACATGTCCAGGTGTCCCTGTGATAGACTGAAGACATGTCCAGGGTGTCCCTGTGATGGACTGAAGACATGTCCAGGGTGTCCTTATGATGGACTGGAGACATGTCCAGGTGTCCCTGTGATGGACTGGAGACATGTCC